AAATTCTCTGCCATTTGACTGACGAAGACATTCGACTATTGATGGAATCGGAGGACGAAATCTCAAGAGCCGGTCGTTTCAAGCGATTGTTTCCTTCAATCAATTCTCGACATTATCTCAAATATTTCGATCGACTCTTATATCCGAATATACTTTTGGATGAATGGGAACAACAATATTACGACAATAGAGAGAAAGGTATCAAACAATTGATTATAAAATTTTGCAATTTTTAAGATTCAACTCTTATTAGGTATTAAAAGACTGCGAGAACTGGTGTCGAGTAAACATCACATGTTTTATGACAATTCAGAACTTGTGAGTTTAGATGCAAATTATTATGGTTTTTGTTGTAATATTTAATATTTGTTTGTTTTCTTACAGTTCAACACTTTTTTAGACAACTTTCGTATGAATTATAGCTTTGAAGACAATGTTTTGATAGACAAATAAAGTTTTTAGTTTAGGAACAATTTTTAATACACCAAATATTGCATACCTTTTCCTTTTAAATTATCTTAACATTTAGACTTAGATTAGTTACTTGATAAATTTACAATAAACTGAAGTACAGGTATTTTTTGATTCTTATACAGAATTAGGTTTACTAATTGATAGTAATGGTATTTATGAAATTAATACACTTGAAATGTAACTAAACTAGATACAATTGCCTAAAATCTTCTATTTAATATTTTATACACTGGTTTTATTTATTATACAAATAAATTGAATTAAATTTTGAAAAATAATGTTTGAATTAAAATTGATTGAATAATTCTGTAATCAAACAAATCCACCAATAATTAAGAATTATTCTTATGAATAATATGAATAAGGTAAGTTAGATTACTAGAAACTAGCAATAATTAATTAATTGATTGATTTAAGTATGTTTGAAAATTCAATATAAACATTTTTGCTTGATTATATCAATATTTTATTGAATTTAAATACAAAACTTGAATTTGAAATTGAATTTAAGTATTTGAATACAAAACTATAATAACTAGAATTTCAATGAATAAACAATCACTGAATTAGAAGACAATATCTTTGAACGAAGTGATGGTCTCAACGCCAGCCACGGCTTCTTGCGGTTTATTATTGGGCCGAATGATGATCACTGACTGAAGACCAGCCTTCTTTGCAATCTTAGCCTCTGAAGCCTTATCTGTGATATACATTGTATTGTTTGTATCAACACTAATATGCCTGCAAATGGTTTCATAGCTTTTGACTTCACTTTTACCGCCGATATCGATATCAAAGAACTCGTCTATCAGTGGTGTGAGGTTTCCATGATTTGTATTACAAAACAGCAACCGTTGGGCACAGGATTTGGCCGATGAATAGACGCACAGTTTGATACCAAACCTCGTTTTCCAGTCGTGCAGAGCGTACGACACGTCGTCGAAGACATGGCTTTTCATGAGACCCGACTCATAGATCCAAACCCAACACAACAGTTCCGTTGACTTCAGTTCCGTCGTCTTAAACCCANCTTTTCATGAGACCCGACTCATAGATCCAAACCCAACACAACAGTTCCGTTGACTTCAGTTCCGTCGTCTTAAACCCATTGGATATCTGCCATAAGATGTTCTTTTCAGCCGATTTGATCACCTCATGCTTACTACCACTGCTTTTAATGGCAGGCATTCCGTGATAACTACCCTTCTTTTGCAACAGATTAAGACTAGTGATCAGTTCTTTGGTTTCATTAGTATTGTACGTTTCGGTGAGAAATGTGTTCACATTTGTCTTAATAGTAGGCATCAGACGACGTGAGAAGAACTTTTTGTCGGTTGTGGTGCCCTCGATGTCCATTATAATGGCTTCTGGTTTCACGAATTGAGATCCACAGCACCCCATCGGACGATCACATATGGGGCGAGACAACTGTCAAACTTATGATTCTCGAGATCAACAGTTCCGGCACTCAATTGAAACAACTTTTAATCACCAATTGTTGCTCTCATGAATAATTTAGTGCGCGATTACGGTATTATTTACTCATTATTTAAATATAAATCCAAAAAAGTGGTCAATTCAACAAAATTCTTGAGTCAATGCATAGAAGTATTCAAATCAGTCATTTCGACCAAGATATTGAACCTAAAGAGTTGATACATTGGATCAATGAATGCATTGAGTTTAAACACAATAATGACAATGAATTCATGTCTCGTCTTATAGCCATCAATCGAAGTTCTTTAGGAATTAAGTACTCAGAGAAACCTTTTAATGTACACAAAAAGTTTACGGAGAAGTATATCAAAGAATTGTTTGGGTTGTCTGACCA